ATCCACTTAACTATCTCTCATTCCTCTCCCTCCATCTCTTCGCCTCTCACTGTCATGTGGCTTGATCATTCCCAGAGATCCACTAACATCTCTCATTCCTCTCCCCCCATCTCTTCGCCTCTCACTGTCATGGTGGCTTGATCATTCCCAGAGATCCACTAACATCTCTCATTCCTCTCCCCCCATCTCTTTGCCTCTCACTGTCATGGTGGCTTGATCATTCCCAGAAGAGCAGTTTCTCCACATCAGTGTCTTACCACCATCAACTGTTTTGTCTGTGGGTTATTATATATTTGGACAACTCCACTTTTGTTTCTTATATCAATCCATGGGAAGGCACTCACTCTCAAGATCTCTGCTTCCTTATTCTAGAGTTCTTCTTTTGGGCCCATGACCTCTGTTCAGTTATCTGCCTGCCATATCCTGGGGGCTTTGAACTTAGTGGATGATCAGCTGTCTTGCTTAAAGCAAATCCTTTCAACAGAGTAATCCTTATCTTCAGGTGTTTCAGTGGATTTGTTCTCACTTTGGTAATCCTCTGATGCCTTTGTGACTTCCTTATTCACCAACCTTCTAACTGTCCCATAACGTATTGTTATAGTGAAGGGTTTTCTGAGTCAGGATTGGTCCAATTTTTTTCCAATATGCCTACCTACCTCTTTGACTTCTTCCTAGAGTTTTGTCTCTGATTTGTAGGACACTAAGTTATTCTCATTGTTCCCTGTTTGTCAAATTAAGTCATGACTGTCCCTCCATTTGTTTATTTTAGGTCTAGGAATCACTGTCCCTACTAAGTTCGGGGTCAGCCTTGGACATCCATCTTTCTCCATAGTGTGTCACATCCTGATTTTGATATGTGGCTTTTTTTCTGGGGTCATGTCAAACTGGCAGGCTTTTCTTACAGACTAGTCTGATTTCTTGCTCACTGATGTTGGTTGTAAACCCTTGCAGTTTATCAGCATGAGTAGATGGTTTATCATTACTGGTCCATCCACCACTATCTTATCTTCTTCCATGTTGTTTGACTTTTTCTCTCCTACATGAATCTTACCCTTCTAGAGGATTAGGAGAATCCTTTCTCCCCCAGTAACAAGCTGCTTATGTAGGGAGGGGGGTCCATATGGAGAGTTTCCCTTTGGGTCGGAGTATTCTCACTGGTACAAGATTGAATATATCCACCCCTCAATTGCAAGTAGATCAGGATTGTCAACCTTGAAGAGTAGTACGTGCCATCACCAACACTAAAAACTGGATAATTCATCCCTAAACCTGCATATTCATGCAAATCTTTCTTGCATACTGTACGGCTTGGCATGTCACCTAGCTATACATAAATTGTATGCTGTATGGACTGCTGTCTCCCTAGGATTTGTAGTGAAGATGAGAAGCTTTCACATTCCATACACTTTTGCAACCCTTGAGCAAAGGGGAAAAATTTTTCTAGACAGAACCTTTCTGAACCACAATGTGTATTGGGAAAAGAGTATTCCCTGTTGGAAATGAATGCAGTCTCTCTCACAGATTACTACTACCCCCCTCCCCCTTTCCATAAGTGGGAGATGAACTCCAGGAGGTTATCCTTCTGTAGTCTCAGAAAGCAGCTCATCTTTTTAATTTCCTTTTCTACGCTGATATTTCTATCATCTTTTCAATGTGGGATTCTAGCTAACTGTTCAATGGAGAGGTGAGTATTTTGATCTGAGTTTAACATATTCCTTACCTAAAATTGTATTCCACATAAATACTTACCTCCAAAGAACCACCCACCATACCTACAAACTTCCATTGTGCCTTGTCAAGAATGACTTTTTGGCTTACAACAATATTAAATATGTGGGGTTGAGAGCTCTCACAACAGCTTGACATATGTGCATAAAACATCTTTTCAGCAGTAGTGCTAAGGTGCCAATTAACTGTTATGTGGAAAGGTGAGTAACTATTTCAAATACCATTACTGGTAGGGAAAATATTAACTTGTGAATGTTGCAGGTTGGTGATCTAGACGAACTGAATATCATTCATGTTTCGGGGACGAAAGGAAAAGGTTCTACATGTGCCTTTACTGAAAGTATTCTTCGTCATCATGGTCTGAAAACTGGATTTTACAGGTTAGTTTTTTTTGTTGTTGTTTTTTTTGGTACGAAATCTTTCACCTTGCTGTAGATTTCTTCAGGGTAGGAGTAGTTGTTCACGTGCTTGCAGAATTTGTGGAACTTTGAAGCTACTGGTTGGACGTTGCACATTGAACGTTGAACATCCTGGTGACTTGACCTTGTACATGTAGCTTACATAAAAAAATGTCCAAGATCATTTAACATTTGACCTTGTACACACAGCTTATGTAAAAAGTGTCCAAGGTGACTTGCCACTTGACCTTGGACACATAGCGTACATAACAAATGTCCAAGTTGACCTTTCGCATGTAGCTTATGTGATAGAAACAAAATAATAACAAAACTTGCAGTTTTTTGTAAAATTGCAATTCAGAAATAACTCTGAAATATATAAAAAGTATAAATATAGTAGAGAATACATTTCATTCAAAATTTGAGTTGTGATGTTTCTTTACAGTTTTTAACATCAGAATAATTACTTTTTTTTATATGGTCACTAGTTTCTTTAGCTCTACAGCTTGGAATCCCCTTCTCCCATTGGCAATACTGGTAGGAGCTCTAGAAGCGAGCATTGTATCAGACCCTTGCTAGAAAAAGGAAAAACTTGTCCCTGGATTGAATCCCCAAAGTTCATGATGCTTGTGGAATCTTCCCTCACCCCCTCTTGCATACTCCCAGAAGAGCTATTCCTGATCTGGGTTTTTTTCATACATGCTTGTTATATGCATTAGTTGATGTTAGAATCAAAATTAATCCTATTAATATGTATAAACTTAACTTACAAGATTATATATCAAAATAATTGTAAATCAAACAAGGAAACATATTCAAAGCATCAGTGTCATTTGGTTGGAGATCAAAGTGGAAGAAGGAGCATTCATCTAGGAAAGTAAATAAAAATAAATGAAAACTCAAGTCAACTTAATGAAAAGTAAGTAAATCTAATATTAAACCAACACAAGAGTAAAATTCTGTCAAAGAACCACTAATCCTGTTAAATGTTCACAGTGGAATTGGTTTGTGTAAGATTTTAACTTAATTTGTTTAATTTTTATTCATGAAAGCTCACCCCATTTGATTGCTGCTCGTGAAAGAATACGAATCAATGGAGAACCTCTATCAAAACAAACATTTGCGTCTTACTTTTGGGATGTTTATACCAAGCTCCAGAAAAAGGTGAATTTTATATTTAGTTTTAAATATTTCTTTTGCAGATTTCAACTCATGTGCTTTTAACTCCTGATTTTATTTTCTTTCTTTTCACGTTATAGTTTATTTAATATCAGTTTTGTCGCACCTATATCTTTTTTTTTACAGATTACTGTTTTTCCTCTATTGTATACTTTTGAATTTATATTAGTTTCTTAAAATCCATGAACTAACTTCCTTACTTTCATCAGTCAGTGGGAAAAAAAGGACTATGTATGAGCCTTTATTGTAAATATAGATATTCTCTGAATATGTAAAAGCTTCTTTAAGAGAAAAAAAATGAACACTAAAATCCTAAGGTGATTAATAATGGAAACCGTGCACTTTTTTTTTTCATATTTGATAATTGCAAATAGCTATTCAACAAAACTGTTTTGAGAGGTATCACTGTTTTCAATTAACATTAAAGTGTGGTAGTTTATTTATACAAAGTTCTATGTTCATAATATGATTTTATATAAAATTTTCATTCAAGGCTTCTTTTATCTGTGATCATGCTGCCCTATTTTTTTTAAGGTCTAGGCAATTAATATTGGTGGGATACATGTTTGTTTGTTTTTTTTCCAGTGAGCTTGCACATTATAAGAAAAAAATAAATAGATGATGATGGTGGTTTTGTTCAATTGTTATAAACAACTGGTCCCCTCCCCCTCCCCGAGTGATAAAACAGTTATATCAGTAATAACCTTTCTTACAAAACATTTGCGTAAGTCTATCAAACACACAAAAAATGTTTCGTATTGTTTTATGCAGTTTCTTTTGGGACCGAATCAAAAATTAATTCGAAAAAATCATGTTAGGTAGTAAAAAATACTATTATAAAATTTATTTTCAATTTTAAACCTTTATTTCGTAGGATGGTAAAGAGGAAGAAATGCCAACCTATTTCAAGTTTCTGACTGTCATGGCATTCTATGTTTTTTTGCATGAAAAGGTACATTTTTATTTTTTTACTTCTTGGCTGCAAGATGTTAATAAGGTTAATGCTGCAATTGTGAGTGTTTGAAGTCAAGTATTAAAAAACTGTTTTACATACTTTTATGGTCATTGGGTGAAAGAATACTGTTTATGAAAATATTAAATGACATTTATATATGTGTATAATAAGCTTTTTGACAAATTATGAATGTTGGGCTGATCATTTAAGAGTCGTATAATGTGCATTCATGAGAATGTTCTTGTATCCAATAGCCCTCATGATGGTTTTATAATGAGAGTTGAAATACCAAAAATCTTAGCTTAACACATTTTATTTTCTTTCTTTGTTATGGACATTTCTGTATTATTTTGTTTTACTTTGTGTTTCTGCATCACAAGAATTTTTTTTATGCTCTTTGCTTTGCCAATCTTTTTTTTTTCTACTTCTTATTTTGTTATTCATTTTGACTTTGCCATGCTTTCTTCTATGCATACTTCTGTAGAAGATCTTTCAGTTCTGTTCATCTCACTTTTTTAATTCCTTGTCATCTTGTGTTACTTTGATTGTCAGATGTTTCATCTGAAAAATTTCTGGTTCTCTTGTAGGTCTCTTTAACTCTTGTTGTGTTGCTTTTGTTCTTGAGTCAGAATTAGTTTCATATCTACTCGAATAATTACTTGCCCTTCAGTATATAGTTGTTGTTGTTTTTTTAAATCATTTGTGTGGTTCAGCCTTGGTTCTTTAATCTTCTCGTGCTTTCTTTGCACATTCTCACTTTATTTTTTTGCCACATATTTCTTTCAGTTTCATTCATTGATCTTTCAATAGACTCCAAACAGTTCTTATATATGTAAAGAAGTAAATAAATACAACTCAAATTTACATTAAATTCGAAAATTTGTGTTAAACATGCACATGGAAAAATATTTATTTTTGACAAATATTTGACCTTCCTGCAGCCAGTGAGGTGCTGTATGATTGTAACAAAATATCATTCAAGCAAGCCATATCACTGATACTCCAAACATGATTTAGAATTATATAGTAATTTCCAATTGGAGCAAGCTATGTACATAGAGCAAAGCTAAATAGGAACCTGGCAATCTGTAAAGTTAAATATAATTTTCTGATATTTCTACTTATAGAGATTAAAATACATCTGATCAGTTGGGTACCCTTGCTGTTAAGGGTATGTTTAGCCATAATTCTAATAATATCTTGCAATATTTAGCAAGCCTAAGATATTAATGTTAGTCCTTTGTTCATATATTGAGCTAACAATTCAAAAACATCTCCATAATAAAAGTATAATAATAACAAATAAAATTAGGAAGTAATAATATTTGCTATATTAAATAGTTGTCTAATCAATACTGTTAATGGCAGTTAACAATAAATAAATAATATATGTTACTTTGGGAACACAGAAACCCTAACTGTTGGCTTGAACTACTTTCATTTCAGCGGAACTTTAGGCAGAGTAAACATAGGTTTGAGAACTTTAATGGACCTGAAGAAAGCCTAAGTATTGAAGCTGAAACATCTTTTCCTTCAACAGGTAGTTTCAATCCATTAAAGTTCTTGAACAACTATTGCAGAATGTTGAAACCAAAATGTCTGCTGTTTTTAATCTAAGATAAATATCTTCTTGTGTATTTATTTTATAAAAATTATATTTAAATAGGTTGGTATTTGGCTGCAGTTAATACTGGTAACAATGGTAATATTTCATATAAAACTTGGTATGCAGCATAGGTCTTTAATAGTGATTTTTATGATTAAGATGGAGAATGTATGGTATGTATGAGAGAAAATTCCCGAGGATGTAACCTTTGTTGTATTTCAGTACTTTTCTTTATAGTTTGCTCATTATAGGTGGATGTTGCAGTTATTGAAGTTGGAGTTGGTGGCTTGTACGATTGTACAAATGTCATTCGGTAAGTTTTAAAGATTAATTTCTTTTAATTATTTAAAATAGAGGGAAATTAAACCTTTTGCTGGGTTCTTTATTAAGCAGCATTTTACTGATTGATTATTTTCAGATTAAATGCATGAATCCATTAACTAAGTAAAGTTATCTGAGAAGTAGGCAGTGTATTCTAGCCAAAATTTCGAGCTGCTAGATGCTTCATTTCAGGAGTATTTAATATTTTTTTTTTACTTATTTGCGATTTTCCATGGGCAAGTAATAACTGTCTACCCAGAATTTGTTAATACTTAATTAAAATTCATGTGAGCTCTTACATAACATATTAACCAATAACGAAGGTTTGCTTATGTATCATTCTAACAAATAATAGAAAAAATTATAAATACTATTAATTTATTTAAATCGTTTTTCTACAACTGAATTTTTAGATCTAAGTTTGTAAATACTGTAAGTGGGGAAAAAAAATGTTAATAGGATTTATATAAGATATTTTTTTGTCTTGCTTGAGGAAACCAACCGTTGTTGGTGTAACATCACTTGGTTTTGACCACATTGGTGTACTTGGAGATTCAATTGAGAAGATAGCTTTGCAGAAAGCTGGAATCTTTAAACCCAATATTCCAGCATTTACTGTTCCACAAATAGAAGGTGCTTTGCCAGTTCTTCACCAGAGGGCACTGGAAATAGGAGTAAGTAAATACTTGCTTCATTTGATTTTTCAGAGGGCATTTTTTGTTGTGTGAAATTTATTTTGTATTCTTTAATTCTTTATACGGTATTGTTGTAAATAAAAAAAACAATGTTTAATTTTTACGAAATGTCACAAGATCCCAGATAACTAAGAAAAATTTGACATTGAAAAAGTTAATTTTACATGATTTGCAGGGATGAACAGAAATTTATATATCTGTTAAAACTGTAATATATTTCAACATTTAATCCAAGAAGGTATTTCATTATGAAAAGCTTTAAATATTTTAAGACATTTAAGTTTACTAATGTGATGGGAGACTTTGTGGATTAAAGATCAAAAGAGTTAGTCAGATAGGACATTAGGCAGTCAAAAAGGATATATAAAAACAAGATTGGATGAAAATATACAGAGTAATAGGAAAGATTTATTTTAAATACATTAAAAATAGTAGACTTTGATGGATGATAATGAGATGGCTGGGTTATTAAATTTACTTTTCCTTTACTTTTTATTAATAAAGATTTAAACAAATTCTACATTCTGAATGACTGTTAAATTAAAATAAAGATGAACAAGATGATTCATCACATTAATTATGAGCTTCTTAAGAAAAAATTGGGAAGTTTAAAGAATGATAAGATAACATTTCCCCAAGGGTTTTGAAGAAGGTTAATGATAGGATGTGGATCACTTCCTACTATTTTTTGTGAGTCCTTGATTAGTGGGCAGGTGTGAAAAGATTTAGAAGTTCTGTAATGATATTCCTATTTTCAAAGGAATTAATAAAACTGTCCAAATAATTATAAGCCTATTAGTCTTACATCATTTGTGGGAGGTTTATGAAAGTGTGATAAAAGATACTTTGCAAATTCATATAACTAACAAAGTTTAAAATTTTGTTTGATAATAGACTAGGAGAAATCTTGTCTTTCTAATCTCCGACTTTCTTACGTAAATGAGGGTAAAAGTGCGTATTTGGTGTATCTGAATATTCAGAAAGCTCTTGACAAAATACTACATAAAAGGCTTGTTAAAAAGTTATTTTTATAGATGTGGGGGATTTGGTTGGCCCATTCGATTGAAAAATGGTTGAAAGGATGAAAGCAGAGGATTGTTACAAATGGACTCAGTCAAACAGGATTAATATCAAAAATGGAGTACCTCGAGGCCAAATGTTAGGATCTTTGCTCTGTTTGATTTACATGAATGATAATAAATGAAGGAATGGTTAATAAAGTATTTAAATTTTCTGATCATATCAAAGTTTTGGGTACTGCTAGCTGTGGGGAGGATGCTAATGCTACCATACAAGATGATTTATATTACTTGGTGAGTTGTGTGAATATATGGCAGATAACATTTAATTATAAGAAATGCAAGGTAATGCATGTAATTTGTCATAATTTAAATTAAGTATAATTGTAATGGGAATGACCTTAACAGTGTTATGGGAGAAAAGACTTTTGTTGTTCAGTTTGATCACTATCAAGCTATCCAAACAGTATACTGCTGCTAATGGTAGGGCAAATAGGATTTTAGGTTGTATTTATTGAAATATTAAATATAAACCTAAAGAGGTTGTAAGTTCATTGTATGGGCCTCGGTTGGGCTTCTCACTGAATTTCTTGTATAAATTATTTAATCAGTGTTATATATTTTTTAGTGTTCCCTGCATGTTGTTCCACCAATGGAGACGTACGAGTGGTCAACATACCCAGTCGAGCTTGGAATACCTGGAGCTGTTCAGAGCATAAATGCTTCACTGGCTCTACAGTTAACAAAAATGTGGTTAAATCAGAGAAGTAAATATGAAAGTAAGTTGATTAATATTTGTTTTATAAATAATTCTATATTGTGTTTTTAAAAAATTTGTAAAAAATTTCATTTAAATTGGTGTGGTAACTTGCCTAGGTAGAGCCATGATGTTTTAGTTATATATATTTTTTTTTAATTAAATGATATTGACCAAAAATGATTGGGAATGGTATATTTAGTTGTATTCTAAATACTCTAATTATTTAAAAAATTCTGTCAAATAATGGATATTTTTACTGTCTAAAATCTAGCCAATCACAGTATTGGTTGCCTTTACCACTAACTCTTAATTTTTTCACAGGGAAACTGTGAAGTTGGAACTAATACAGATATCTAATAGTGATCTAAGTACCTTGCAACTGGATCTTGAAAAATTACTTTTGTTTGCTAATTTGTTAAAGCACAGTTTGATAAAAAAAAATATAAGAATGAAAGTTTTATGAAACAGCTTAATGTCATTAGCAGAACAGTTGCCGATTCCTGATGGAACTGGCAAAACTCCGTCACTTCCAGCAGATATGGAGAACGGTTACCACTTTACTCCACCATTAGCCATACCATTTAAAGTAACATCTCTGTTTGCTAATGGTAAGTGTGTTATATTCAGGTATATCA